ACAAATCTCTGACAAACTATAATCACAGCAAAGTCATATCCTACTGATGTTAAATGATTCTTCAGACTAGATGGTGTGCTGTTAACAAATGAGGAGGTGTTTTCCTCTGTGGCCCAGTTCATATTTCTTTTACTACACACACACACACACACACACACACACACACACACACACACACACACTGAATCCAGAATGGTGACACCCCATCACTACAACGTGATATCTCCCAGAAGAAGTGGAATCTGAGGCTGCAGTAAGTCATTGGCTCCTTGCATGAGGGCATGGTTTCTTGTCAAAATTAGTATTTTTCAGAATTCCATTGTAAAAACCACAATTGTTTTTAAGACAGCAAGTAATTCAACAAAAGAATGTTGATAGCACCACAGTGGTATCTAAGACATCCAGCAACTCAACAAGAAAGCACTTCTGCAAAAAAGTAAATCCAAAACTGAAACGATCTAGAGTAAGTATGCGCTCCAGTGCTAATAAATCTCTGCCTCTCTGCAGAGACATAACCCTGAAACCCTCCCCACAGGGACATATCTCCGAGACTTCTCTGATGTAATTACAAGGTGGGTGGGATCCTGATTTTTCCTTATCTCCAGCCTCTGCAAAGTCAGCTGATTCAGGGCTCCTTAGAGAAAAGTCTTTGTTCCATGTCCACTTATTTCCTAGGTTATCTCATCTAGTACCATGGATCCATTACATCTGTAACTGAACACTTCTCAAATATATTGTTGAGCCCTAATGTCCTCCCCAAACTTCAAATCAAATCCAAACATCTAATGGTGTTAAATTTTTTTATATCAACTTACAAGAATTTGAGGTTCACGTGTTATAAGCTTTTAAAAAATTGAGACAGGCTCTCATTATGTAGCCCTGGCTGGCCTGGAACGCATTATGTAGACCAGGCTGGCTTCGAACTCACAAAGATACCACTGCTTCTGACTCCCAAATGCTGGGATTAAAAGCGTGCACACCATGGCTAGTTTCTGATAAACTGATTGAAGTCCCCACTCCAACCCCCTTTTTACACACTTCCTAGACAGACTCCCTCTGCAGACTGCTTCCTCAGCTCAGCTCATTGCAGCTCCAGCTTTCAAAGTTACTCAGTCTAAAATCATGGGTCTGCTGTGATGCCTGTAACTGTTTTACTATCTACCACTGACTTGTGATCAGCAAATCTTGTCAGTTCTGCCCTCAAAATAGATGTGCTTCATTGCAAACACTGTAAGCACTATCAAACTAGACCCCTTGCTTCAGCTCTTGCCTCCATAGCAAAGGAGCAATCCTTTTCAGACAGGATGAAATGATGTGCATCCTCTCCTCAAAACTGTCATGTCCTATCTAGAATGAAAGGCAGAACCCTTAGCATGCTTGCAAGGCCTATGTACCAAGCACTGTACCCCTGCACTCTGTTCATCCACAGCCCCTCACGCTCCTCTGAACTTACTTCTTACCCCGCTCTCCACAAGCCTAGACACTGTTTTTTACACAGGAGTATCTTTTCTGGCCCTCAAAATGCCAACTGCTCTCCAGACTCCAAACTTTGATACTTCTCGCTCCCTTTGCTTGAAACTCTCTTCTCCCAGATATCTGCTTGGCTTTTTTACTCCTTTCTTTACATCTCTGTTCATATGTCATCTCCATAGAGACACCTCCCCTAGCCACCCCACATTAACTAGCACCACTACCTCTAATCCTCTAATCCTCTCATATCTGCTTAATTTTTCATCATGAAAGTCTCTCCTCTGATAGCACTTAAGCTCTGAGTGTGGGGTTCATCAGTGTCGGCCAGTGATATATCTCTGTCCTCCAAGAAGATTTTTGAGAGCATGGTACTCACTTAATAGCTGTTATTGAACAAATTAAGGCTAGCTCTACTCCAGACTTATCTCCATAAGTCTTTGAGTTTTAAGACTTTCTGGCTTTTCAGTTTTTTAACATGAACTGCTGTTGAGTCTAGGTTTGTGTTAACTGGGCAAGTAAACTATAAGAACCAAGCATATCTCCTGGAGCTCACCTGTAGAATGGATAATTTTTGACAAATATATCTATGCCATTAATTCAGTGACATCTAAAATTGTATTTATTCTTTCTTGTCAAGTAACTGCAAAATCTATCTATACATGTCTTACGTGACATTCTGCTGATAAAAACTTAGCACAGCTGTGCAAAGTCTTCCTCTCCAATGTGATTTTGTGCTTGATATCAGCTCATGCCCTCATTATAGAGCTGCAGGTTCTAATGAGTGAGACAGAGGATCCAGAACTGAAATCATTGCTTCAGAAAAGGAAGTAACAGTAACAATGTCTTCCAGTCAGACAGAAAGTGCCTCATCAAACCTTAAGGGAGGGCCACTACAAGCAATAAGCCATGTTTGAGGAGTCAAGTTCTGGGTTCTCCAAGCGTACCCACTTCCCCTCATTTCTAGTTCTTTATAAACAAAAGACCTTGGTAAGGATCTCAGTCAATGTTGCAACTTCGCAAGGCACAGAATGAAGTTGGAGTTGGATTCAGCTGCCTTGGCTTGTTCTGAGGAGAGAGAGAAGATTGAACTGAAAGTGGTTTGCAAAGAAGTCTTTAGTCTAAACTGTAGTTTTTAAAAAGTCCATTAATTTTTTTAAATTTTATGTGTACGCGTGTATTGCCTGCATGTAGGTAAGTGCACCTGTGTCGTGCAATCCCCATGGAGGACAGAAGAGGCTGTCAGATCCCCTGGAACTGGAGTTATGGACAGTTGTTAGCTGCCATGTGGGTGCTGGGATTTGAACCTGGGTCTTCTGTAAGAACAGCTAGTGTTCTTAACTGCTGAGCCATCTCTCCAGCCCTGAAAGTCCATTTTTACATGACTAAAATTCATTTTGAAATTATAATATAGTGTAAGAAATATGAAAAATACTGCTTTTTTTGGCAATCAGTTTGTAGGACAATCACTGTTCAGCCCAATATGTATCCAGAGGCATATCCCTAGGACTCTTGCTAAAAGTTTGTTGCAGTTATATCCACAATCCTGGCTTCAGTGGAGTCTCACCTGGATTTGACAGTAATAACTCTTTTTCCCATTACAACTCTGGCTTCTGAGAAGTTTCTCCAATGGCTACGTATTCTTTTTTTTTATTTATTTTCTTTTTATTTTTTTGATACAAGGTCTTCCAGTAGCCCCCGCTGACCTGGCACTGGAACTCTGGAACTCAGTATGTAAAACTAGGTTGGCCTTGATCTTACAGAGATTCTGTCTCTGCCTCTGGAGTGCTAGGATTAAAGGCATGTGGGTTATTGTTCTTTCTTTGTTGTTTATTTTGGTTTGTGGGCTACATGTTCTTAAACCACTTTGAGTAACAGCACCCCACTTCAAATCTCCTTTATGCCTTTTCAAACACATTGATTTCAGGGTAGAACCCAGACGGTTATTGGATAATGTATAATAAGGAAAGTGTAGGATGACTTAGGGGCAGATAGGAAATCTATAATTCCTTTTTAATGTCGTAAGAAAGACTGCTCATAGGAGAGAATTGTTCAGGATGATGATAATAAGTTACACACACACACACACACACACACACACACACACACACACACACACATTCTAGGTGCTTTATACAAAGTGTTACCTTACTTCATCTTCCCAGTAAATGTTTCAGACACATTGAGTTGTCCAGGATCATGCTTATGGCAGGTGGTGCAGCTAGAATTCAAACTTGGGAAGCCTGGCTCCTGGATTCTTGCTCTTGATCATGGGTGATAGTGATATAATCAAGGGGGTGGGTGAGGATGGTATCTAGCTAGACCAAGAGAGCAATATAAAGTGATATGGCTTGTTCAAGCACAACAAGGCATCCAGTAGGACATGAGTGAATACAGGCAGAAAATGATTCTAAAAGTGTGGGCCCTGTTTGCTGGGTTTTAAGCAGTGAGTAAATTATCAGGATTATATTTCTGAATAATCCTTCTGGCAGTGATAGGGAAGATGAACTAGAATAGATAGATCATGGAGGTACAGGATACCATTAGGAAGTCTTTTCATTATCTTAAGTAGAAAATGACCCTGAAACCAACCTGCAACATTAATGTTGGAAAAAGAGGATATAGGGTTGAATGTCAGAAAGGAAACTGAAAATTCTGTATGGAGAATGCATCGACAGTATTCTGTACAGAAATACAGACAATGGTGTTCTTCTATTTGCCTCTCTCTTCCTATTAAAGAAATAATATTTTTAAAGACTCAGGAATATTACCTAGATTAGGGAAACACTATTCTTCAACTTTTTAGCCAATATTAAATATAAATACTATTTTACAAACAAACAATATTTCCACAGTAAAGAATAGCTATGAAAGAGGGGCTGGAAAGATGACTGAGTGGTCAAGATCACTGGCTGTTCATACAGAGGACTCGGGTTCAATTCCCAGCACCCACATGGCAGCTAACAACCATCTGTAACTCCAGTTCCAGGGGATCCAGTGCCCTCTTCTGACCTCTGCAAGGCATTGTATGACACGGGTGTACTTATATACATGTAGGCTATACACTCATACAGAAAAATTAAAAAAAATAAATTTTTTAAAAAAGGATATATATGAAGATCAATTCTTTTATAAAGCTATAAAAAGAGATTTAGCATTACCTTAGTTATATATCAAATTTAAACAATAGCTTTTTGTAATGACATTACCTATCCATTTTCCTTTTAAAATATTTTTTGGGGTAGCTACTGAAATTAAGCAGTAGCCAGTCTTATGATCTGGATGCTTCATAGGCTTTGTATATGCAAACTCTTCACTCATTGATGTATGTTGTCATTAATCCATTTTGAACATCACTGTTTGTCAGCAGAATGACTTTTTTCTCTTTCAGTGATAGATAAGTGAATCAACTCCACTCTGAATTTCTGAGAATCTACTTTCACTCAACATTTTTAAGGGATGATAATGTTCAGAAATAAGGTCATAATTAAGATGAATATTAAATCATCCAAATGAAACCAAGAACTAAAAGGTATAGTTGTAAATAGTGTGCATTTATGACATTAGCATACATTAGTGAACAGTTAAGGTAAAAGACTATTTCCATCAACATGTTAAAGATTATCAAAGTCTACAACATATTTTATAATGAATGACATTGAATTATTCTAAAAATAAATTTCTGTGTTAAAGTATTCATTAGAAAAACATCATAAAAATATGCTCCCAAAATGATACTGAATACCCATTAAAAACAATGGGCATTCTGTAGATGAGCATATATTTTTATTTGAAATCTTTTTAGATATATATTTATACATATACATATGTGTATGTATATGTATATATATAGACAGAGAGAAGTTACATATAGGAAGCAGGAAGAAATAAAATCAATTATTCCATTTACATTTGATATTCCACCAAATGGGTTACAGCCCTTGAAATCTGTATTTTACATTTTGGTCATCATTTAATTCAATATACATTTACCTTGCTCTGGTATTTTAATTATATTCACAAGAGCTTAATTTTCATTATATTCACCTGAAAACTTCATTTTTTGTGTTTTGAATTAATATTTTGCTCTTTTTTTTTTTGGTCTTTTTGAGACAAGTTCTCCCTGTAGCCCCAGTATTTTGCTCCTTTTAAAGATTTTTTTTTCTATAATGTTTAATATTTGGAAAATTAAGTAGTTAATAACTGTCCTCCACAATAATCTTCAAATAATAAGTAAAGACGCATCTTTGTGAACATGTGCTGCAGTCTTGGTTAGTATATTAGAAACAACAGCAGAATTTAAGGATGAAATTTATTTCTTAGACCTTGCATACTACACAGTCAGTTATTCTGTATGACTGACTGCATGCAGCACTTCAGACTTTACTCAAGGGCATTTTTAAATTACAGCTGGTCATTTCTCTCTGAAATAATCTCTTTTTACAGTGATGAAATAAAACTACCTTTTCTAACCATTTTAATGTACTTAATATTATGGAATTAATGAATTATAAAAGTTCCAGCTACTTTTGTTTGGCCTTAAAAATATATATATCTTTGAAATTCTGAGAGAGTGAAATAAGCAATTCACTAGTTATGAATGTTTCATATTTGATCTGCTACATATTTCAAAATTCGTATTTCAATAAATAAATGTATTCTAGAAAATTCAGATTCCTAGGAAGTAGATCCTCAGTGATACTATTGCCTTGGGTATAGAACTGGCTTTCAGAGTATAAATAAATGCTTCTTTCCCTACCATGCTACGTCCCAGAAAATCTAGTAGTCTAGCACCTTAAATGAAGAATTGTCGTACGTATAGAGCAGAGGAAGGTAAAAAGCAGCTTTCACCATCAGACATCTAACAAGTTAAAAAACTGTGAGTGAATTACCTCTAAAACAAAGCTTTAAGGTTATATTATTCTCCAGTTTTGGTGGGGAAAGAAGCATATTACACTATCATATTTTAATGCCATGTTTTACATTTCATGAATATTACATGAATACATTTAGCTACATATATTATTCCCATTTTTTGATCATTAAAATGTCATAAGTTCTTCTTGGCCCAAATTAAATGCTACAGTTTTGGATACAGATATGCAAATAAACTGTAGCTTAAAAAGAGTCATACATGTTCAAATGTGCATATTTAACCCTAGCCAAAATAGTGCTTGTGTAAAATTTAGCTTGCTGAATAATTGGTTTCAGAGAATAATACAAATAGTATTTGGAACTTTTCAGCTAATATAAACTAAAAGACTCACAAGTTTAATTATAACAGTCAATATTTCCAATGCTTTTTCAAGCATTCATTACATAACAGCAACGAAGGGGTCTTTTTCAGATGCATATTTTCAGCTTTATTTCAAAAGCTGTGTAACATAAGAACCTATTACTCAAAGGAAACTTTTTAGCCATAGAAAGGGAATATGAACTAGGGCACCTGGTGAAGGGCTAAAGAAACCTACTGCCCTCTCCATCAGTACCTAGAAAGTTGAGCACTTGTGATTTATGGCTTGAAGTGCTTGGGTCTGATCATCATCTTGACCTGTTTGAAGGAGAACTTGTAGCCACCAGGCTGTGCCTGGCTCATACCAGGCCAAGTGCCCCAGAAAATTCCATTACGGACACCTTTGTATTTTTGGTGATAATATTTGCCATTTAAGTTTGCAGAAAGACATGCATCAAACCACCAACCTGAGCTGTAATAGAGCCCACAGTTCCCAGAGGGATATCGATCATTGTCTCTGTCTGGGGTGGTGAAAAACTTCAGATCATGGTTGTAATGCTTACTAAAGCGCAAGGCATCTCCAGCTGTGCCATTATAGTTACCAAGGTGTAAACGGTATTTGAGAAACTCATTAGCCACGTAAAACTGATTATACAAGGCATACAGTTTGACATTATTAAAATCTTCAAGATCTATTCTCAGAATCATTTCCTTACTCTTTGTCAGAAGGTGAATTTTATCATTACCCAGCCAAAATTCCCGTCTGAGGTTTCCAAAGCCTGCTTTGTAGTCCTGCCATTTCCTTGTGAAGTTGGTGCTTCCATCGAGGCGAGCCTGCAGCACTGTCCAGCCTCCCCCCATGGTCTCCATGTCACAGTATACCTCAAAGCTACTATTTTTGGGATCAGGTGTAACTCTGTAGATCTCACTGCTTCTTTTGCCTATTACGTAGTAGTCAGAACAATCTTTGTATATTAGATGTTGAACTGAAGGGGGAAGAAAAGAAAGACATTGGAATTTTGATAATAAAAGCTATGCATCTGAAGAATTCTTAGACGCAAAATCAGTTTGATATTTCAGTTAATGGCTATAATGAAACCTGGCTCTGCTATACTTACCTGAGCCTGGCTAGCACACACTTAAGGCCTCAGGGCAAAGTACTGTTATAAAGTACATAAGATGCTCTTGGTTGGTTATAATGGTGACACCACCAACAAACAACAGTAAGAATAAGTAAAACTGATGCTCAGTGAGGACTAATGACTTCAAGAAACTTTGCCAAACACCAGGAAACTTTTTGCTTGGAATCTGTACATCAACCTTATGATGTAGGTATTATTTCCACCTTGTTTATGAAGTTATTTAGTCCCCTAAAGCATCAGTGGTTTATCCAACTTCACACAAGTATTAAGTGACACAGCTAGGAAACAAACTCCAATCTGCCTGGCAGTGAAACTTGTTCTCATAACCATGGCATTCCTCTGCCCTAAAACTGAGATGGTTCCAACTCTCCTAGGATTGCATACTAGGCACGATCAGCCAATTTCATAGGATGTGTTTCAAATGAAGCATTTGCATTCTAATGCACAATATTGCTCATAAATTTACTCTTATTTCACTATATATATGTATATATATATATATATGTCTTTTTCAGACAGGGTCTCCCTGTAGCCCCAGCTGACCTGGAACTCACTATGTAGACCAGGCTGGCCTCGAACTCACAGAGACCCACCTGCCTCTGCCTCCCAAGTGCTGGGATTAAAGGCGTATGCCACCTCTCCCGGCAACTATATTAAGAGGTTCAAGTTTAAAAAAAAAATTCCCAGTAGTATACTAATATTATTCTGAATTTGTTATACAGGAAGGTATATATAGTCACTCAATATCTTACAGGTTTGATTTGCAGAATTCCACAGGGTGATTACGTTCAGGATAAATGTAACAACTATTTATTCCCACGTAATTTTTATAAAAGTTTGTGTCAGTTAGAATAAGTTTAATATAAGATAATGTAAAGCACAAAAATCTATTCATGTGTATTTAGAGTCCAGGATATTCATTTCCTAAAACTTTTAGGAGAAAAGTGAATAATACAATCCTTTTCATATCATTTCAAGTTGCCATGCAGTGCCAAATATGCACTCAGTGATGTCACCTAAAACATGAACATTTACCTCAAAACATGTAGGGCATATTCAGATCCAAGCTGCCCAGGGGTATCAGTGACAGTGGTCCTTAAACCATTGACCTACCATCTCCAGGAGATTCCTTGGGGATGAAGTACTTGTTCCAAATGAAAGCGATTGCTACCATGTCCTGTCAGCCGCACAGTCCTGATGGGCAAAGTTCTAACACAGAGGTGACTTTCCAGTGTAGCAAGACCAGTAGCAGCAATTGTCTCAGGAATTCAGGAATTGTGGGCAACCAAGCCACTGATAGCTCATGAGCACAGTAGGCAGTTAGGTCTATGGTCGTTAAAAAATATTAAAGTTAAATAATTTGGGTGGTGAGAATGGGTTCTGTTTTATATGCTTGAGCTTAAGGTAAAAGAGATAAAGAAATAATGTATTCCTTCCCTTAGCCACATGCCAAAATTCTCCTCAAAATATTTTTTTTGTGTGGTGGATGTAGTGGTGCACGTCTTTAATCCCAGCACTCAGGAGGCAGAGGCAGGCGGATCTCTATGAGTTCAAGGCCACCTTGGTCTACACAGTGAGTTCCAGGCCAGCTGGGGCTACAGGGAGACTCTGTCTCAAAGAAA